GTTCTGTACCAACTTCACTACACTGTCTAAATTGGCTTTGTTCTGTCTTGTTTTGTTGTATTTTATTACCTTCACAATAATAAAAAAATTAAAATAAATTAAAAAAAGAAAAACAAAATTGATAACCAAAGAATACTATAAATCTCAGCAAGGTTCTTGAAACAGAGAAACGTTTTCAAGGTTAAGTGAAAATCCAGGACACTCATCATTACTAGACTGGCAACGTAAGATATAGTTAGGAGAGCCATGCATCCAGGAAGTGAAGAACCATAGCTACCACTCTGAAGACATACTGCAAGAGCAGAGAAGGTAACCAAGTCTTACCAATGAGCTTTTTTTCTCTTGACATCCTAAATTACAGAAGGAAAGGTTTATTTAGCTCGCTGTTCGTAGGATTCAGTCCATAATCAGCTGCCTGCAAGGAAAGACGGCATGGCAGCAGTGCTAGCAGTTCATGGGAATGGAAGACAGCAAAAGCAACAAGCGCAGAAGGGGAGGAGAGCACTGCTTTTCTTCCCTTACACAGGTCATCTGCCCTAGGGTGGGAGCAGTACTCAGACCCAAACCCAGTGCTAGACCATGAGCCAATCACAAACTCTAGATTCAGCCAGCTCCGAAAAGCCTAGGCCCTCCATGACCATGTGAGGCTTTGGGGGGCCATCCAGTCACAAACCATAACATTCATCAAATCACAAAAATAAACCTTAGAAGAAATGGTATACAAAACAATAGGAAAACAATATGGAAAAAATAAGTTCTCATTAAAAAAATCTTGAATTTAAAATTCCTCAATCAGAAGCTGTACATGCCTGTAATCCTAGTACTGGGGAGGCAGAGGCAGGAGGACCGCTGGAAATTTAAGACCAGCTTGGGCTACAATACCTTATCTCAAAAGGACAAAAAAAATTCATAGAGATGCTAAATGGTAAAGCAATAAAACTCAACTTTAGGGTGCTAAAAAGAAACACAACACTCTTATAATGACACACACAAACAAAAAGATAATCCATATAAATAGAAACCAAAAGGAAGCAATGGTAATCATGCATGTCCAAGAACAGGCTTTAAGTGAGAAACTGTAAAAAGGGCCAGGTATGGTGGTTTACGACTATAACCAGAGGTACTCAGCAGACAGAAAATCCCAAGTTCCCGGCCCATATGGGCAACTTAGTGACACCCTGCCTGGGCAACAAGATTAGTTCAAAATTCAGGGGGAAAAGGGAGCCGAGGCTGTAAGTCAGTGGGAAGGAACATGTATGAGGCCCTAAGTCCAATGCCCAAAGTTATAACAAATTAACACAAATGTAAAAGTACCCTATTATACAAAGTAATATTTTTTATATTTACAGACTCCAATATAAACATGGTAAACTTCAATACCTCACACATTTATGAATGGACAGATCAGCTAGACAAAAATATCAACAGAGAAATATCAGTGTTAAACTAATCCAGATAGATCTGACAGAACATTTCATCTAGCAGTTGCAGTTTTCATTCTTCCCTCAGGAAAGACCATGTTAGGTCACAGAACAAGCTGTACAAATACATGGAACCTAAACAGCATATTCTTGGAATTACTACTAGGTTATGAAAAAAACTGAAAGGCAAGTTAAAAGGCATTAACAACTTATGAACAGCTCTATGATAACAACTGAAGAAAAGCAGAAAAAGGTCTGAATACAGCTAACCTACTAAAATCAAGTCAAGAAAACACACACAACACCAGATCCATGATGACTTAATAAAACTGAGTCAGAAATATTTTCCAGTACAGAAAAGCCCAGGGTCTGATGGTTTCACTGCTTGTCTACAAAACACTAAGAACTAATAGTAATCCTCCTCAAACTATTCCGACAAATTGAAAAGGATGGAACTTTATCAAACTTGTTTTATGAGGCCAGTATTATCCTTATATATAAACCAGAAAAGAAAAGCACAACAATGACAACAAACTGTAGACCACTGGGCAGGGTGGCACATGCATGTAATTTCAACGAGTTGGAAGGCTGAAGAAGGATGATCAAAAATTTGTGACCATCCTAGTCACTAACTATACAGAAAGGCCCGGGGATGTAGTTCAGTGGTACAGTGCTTGCCAGCATCACTGGCAGCCTTAGAGTAGGGCTGGGCACCATCTCCCCACTACACACCTCCCCTATGGCTGAGTGAGACTCAGATGTGACCCAGCTGAGCATGAGCCTTGGTGGCCAAAGAGACCGTCTTTATCACCCATCTCCCCAGCTGCAGGCAGCAGGGCACTCCCAAGACTAATGCCTGCATCCTGGTGGGGCAAACACCCATTTCAGACTGCAGCGTTGCCAACTGTAGTACATGCACCACAAGCAGGCCCTTATGAGTGTGAGACTCATGTCTGACCCAGCTTAGGGGCTACCTTTGTCACTATCATAACTGCAGGCAGGAGAGGATAAACACAGGACTTCCTCAGTGCCGACTTAGTGAAACCTACCAGTAGGCAGATCACAATGGCCTCCACCCCTAAGCCAGTACTCTGAAAGGGCCCCAGTGCCAGGGAGAGGTTTAGTTTCCTTCTATCATACTGCTCATTTTGTCAGCATCACACTATAGGTGACCCATAGCAGTAAGAACCTTAGTGCTGTGCTGGCCTCTATATCATGCTGGACTCAGGATACAACACAGTATGGTGTCACTGGTGGCCACAGACCAAGGAGTCTGGGCATACCTTGGCCCCAGGGCAGGGTGGTGGCTAGCTGGATGGCCTATCCTTTTTAGGTACTCCTACTTCATGTTCAATAACACACCAATCATGGATTTGGAACAAACCTGGGCTTGGATTGAGCCCTAATGCTGAAACAATGATATCACACAGACTTATGGCAAACCAGGGCTCAGGCACCACGTAGTGCTAAAGTGGTAAAAATGACTACAGCAGAGTTAGATTCCTTGCAAGACCAAAGTAGACCAACCTGGTCAACATCTACAGCACATGGAACATTCTGCAGAACAGAACAGAACCCCCTTGCTGGTCATAAGATCAGTCTCAAGTTCAAAAAACAAAAATTGAAATCACAACAAAAACTGTGGAAACCATACAAAATACAACATGTCAATGAAATAAAGAATAGAAATACAACTTACAATAGCTACTCTTGGCATGGGTAAGTAAAATGTGGTAGAGAGTACTCTGCCATCAAGAAGGATAAACCTGAGTCATCTATCTACAGGGAAATGGATGCACCTTAAGACTTTATAGTGCATGAAACAAATCAGACACACAAGCTTAAATATAGTAAAGTTTCTCTTATATGAAAACCCAAATATAAAGAGAAAAATAAGAGAAAACAGGGTGGTGGGTGATGGGTGGTAATGAATCATCAAGAATGAATAATGCGATTGAATTACTAATAAAAAATGTCCAAGACCAAGGAGTTTAACTGCTGAGAAACACTAAACACTTAAAGAATGTATATTCTTAAATTACTCTGAAACAGTGAAGAGAAGGTAGCTCTTCCAAACTCACTCTATGAGGCCAACATTACCCGATACCAAAACCACAGAACACACAAAGAAACTACAGGCCAATATTCTTGATGAAAATACACACAAAAATCCTCACTGAAGTACTAGCTAACCAAATCATCTAATTGCACAGTAAGGAGATTATTCACTATGACCTAGTGGGATTCATCCTGAGAATGCAGAACAGTTCACCAGACACAAATCAATAAACACATTAGACAAACACAATGAAGATCCAAAGTTACAAGAATCTCAACAGATGCAAAAAAAATAATTAAAAAATTAAAAAAAAAAACCCAAAAACCATTTTAAATACCTCAACAAATTAGCTGTAGAAAGAACACGCCTGATGATAATGAACGCCACATGTAACAAGCTAACAGCTAACATCATTCCTGATGAGGGAAGATGAAAGCTTTCTCTAAAATCTGAACAAGACGAAGTGCTCACTTTCACTAGTTCTTTTTCCCCAGCACAGTACAGGAAGTCCTAGGTATAGCAATCAGGCACAAGAAAGAAAAAGTGACCAAGTTGGAAAAAAGTACAATTGTCACAGCAAATGCTATGTTCTTATATACAGAAAACTTCAGACTCCAATAATAAGACGTAATGGAGGTGTACAATATAAAAATATGCTAAAAACAGTTAAGTTACTATACACTGACAACCAGTTCTTGAAATAAACTTCAAGCATTTCCATTTATAACAGCTAAGAAAAAAAATGTAATTTTAATACTTAAAATACCACAAAATAAATTTAATAAATTTAATCCTACCTGGCCATAATGGCACATACCTGTAATCCTAGTTACTCAGGAGGCCAATACCATAGGAGGATTTCCAAGTTCCAATCCTAGCCTGCCCAACTTACTGAATCTCTGTCTCAAAAAATTAAAAGGGGTGGGTTATATAGCTCAGTGGTAGAGGGCTTACCTGGCATGCTCAACGCTCTGGGTTCAACACCTAGCACTACCAACACACCCACACACAGAGTAAACCAAGGAGAGGCAGACGATACAAAAAAACGAGAAGACACGTTTATGGATTGCAAGAACTAATACTATTAAAATGTCCACACTCCCCAAATAAAAATCTACAAATTCACTGATACCTATCAAAATCTTCCACAGAATTTTAAAAAATATGTACAGAACCACAAAAAAATGAAACACAAAAACTCAGTAGCCAAAGTATAACACAAAAAAATCACTAAGCAAAAAACCCAAAACATCAAAGCAGGAGGCAAGACAATGCTTGATCTCCTAGCACACTATAAGACAGCAGTAATCGAAATTGCACAGTACTTCCATAAAAAGGAACCAATAGAACAGAACAGACAGCATACAACGAAAGTCACACATATTGTGCAATAAAAAAAGAGAAATTAAGCCAGCCATAGGTGGACTGACTCCTCATAATTTCCTATTTTCTCAAGAGAAGAAAATTGAGAAGTCAATATGATGCATGGTATACATATCACCAGTAAGGGCTTAGATTACCTTGTCTCTCTCTTTTTCCTTCAATTTATCCAAGGATCGTTTTAGTCCTTCTTCCAGAAGGTCTATGAGGCGCACTGTTTCACCTGAACGTGTTTTAAACTTCTTCCTAAAAAATTGAAAAATGCTAATCAACCAGATTCAGAAACAGATATATATTTATTTGTTCACTCTTCTGGAATATAATGTTCAACTTAGTAATTTATACTTTCAGAGAAATTACTAATACAGGTTTACTTCTGTAATTATTTGGTTGGCAAATTCTTCATTGTAATCTTATTTGCATTTCTTTCATAAAAACAATTCAGCGGTAATCAACCCTAGAACTACATTTGAAATAGTTGGAAAGGTTTATAACACAAGGCTGCAAAAGCTCCACTGAGAGCTACTGAAATCAGAATCTCAACAGATGGGGCAAAATTATCACAAAGCATAGCTGAGATGATAGGATTTTTAAATTTATTAAACAGCATAAATCTGCATATCAAGTATACCATTTGCCTTTTTCTTGGTAAGTTAAAAGTCCTTCAAATGTAAAAACACTATAGAGGACATATGCTCTTCTTTCCAAAGCAAAGCCTACCACATTGTGGTACTTCCTCTCAAAGTCTTCTTTTCAGAGCTTTCCTTAGAAAGCATCCATTGGTTCATCTCAGGATTAAAATTCCTTTCTAGTTGGGCTGGCTGTGCTTTCCAGGGGCAGAGTGCTTGCCTAGCATGGGCTCAATCTCCCTAAACAAGGTCTTTTGACCTTCATATACTTTATAATTAAAATGATACCATGACACGTCTAGACTATCTTTTACCCTTAATTAGGATATCCTTTATATATTTTCAAGCCAAACCTTCCCAGTCACTTCACGTGATTTTCAGAAGCATGACCACCTCTGTGTGATGGTAAACAAAAACTGTCAAACAAAGATGTCATAAGGGACAGAAATGTTGACTAAAAATGATCTGAAGGCACCAATGAATTTAAGATTTTGAAATGTCAAAGTCTGTGATGGACAGTGAATATAAATACTTGATTGATATTTATGTTGTTTCTCATAAACATTGAGCAGAATGTGGGGAAATGACTAGAAAATAGAAAAGGTCAGAGTAGGAACATTACCACATAGATCTTGACAAATTTTTTAGATGAATACAAAGATGAAAACAATCTTAAAACTCAATTGGACAAGGTCCTGAATTTGATCCCTGGCACCAAAACAAACAAAAACCTCAATTGGAAACTCAATATACTTGTATTTTTTGACCAAATAAAGGGTGAAGGAAAAAGTGGACATCTACAAAATGTCAAAATGCTTGGACTACACTACTTAATATTTGGCTTAAAGTCTGAATATGTACCATTGTAGACTTCATAACTTAGATCTCTAGCAGAAACTCCCTTTCATAATGCATTGTCTATAATCTACTTTTTATTCAACTGCATACCTTTGTATTTGTGGTTTTATCCTCTGGCAATGGTAAGACATATATAAAAGGTTCAGTTAAGTTTACCACTGCAACACATATAAAACAAACTCTGGCCTTTCTCAGTCCTAACATAGTATCAAATAAAAAAGAGCCTCTCCCAAGGAATGTGAGGATCAGGTAGCAATTTCTTCAGATTTCTTACTCACTTGTCTTCTCCAAGCACCACGCCAAATCCAGCATGGAACACTCGAGTTACTTTAGGGTCATACCAACCCATCATCTGAGCAGCAGCAAACACTGTCTGGAAGTGCATAGCCTATAAAAAACAGGTAAAAAGTTACTTGCTAGTTTTTAAAAATAATTTTAAAAAAGACTTAAGGCTTTTCTGTTTAGAGATAAACATTTTCTAAAATTGCAATCACAAATCTTGTGAGCCAAGTGCTACTATAAAGGCTCTTCTTTTATTACCAATATATAAGAAATAATAAGAGGACTAGTTATCACACTACTTTCAAAAGCTTTAAAAGCAACTGGACATGGGTGAATTCACATGCAATAACTGTAATCAAAGCCAGGGATTTAGCTCAGTGGCATAAGGCCTTCCCTGCCTGATGAGCACAAGGTAGTGAGTTCAATCCTTGGTAGCCTCCCCCCCAAAAAACAAAACAATCCTTAATCAAATGCTAAGTTTTATACTTATTTTATTGATAAGAACAATTGCTGAGGTTCAGAGAAATCACCCTTTCCAGTATGTGCAGAACAGCTGGAAGCCTGGGACCATCTGTTCTTTCTTCCACAATACACTGGTGTTCTGAACCTTAATATCTAGGGAGGAATTTAGTGTCTTAGAATCAAGTGCCAGCTCCCTACCATCAGCCAATATAACAGCGGCAAATCTTCCAACTTACTTGTCCACTGTCTACAACATAGATAATCATATCTGCTTTTTCCTCGAACAGTCTTTGTTTAATAGCAGCCATGTCAGATGTGTCATAGGTATAACCACCATCTGATTTCACTATAGTCAGTGGTATGGAGCAACCCGGGACAAACACAATCTTTCTGCCATCATCCACTTGTACAAATCCTGTATTAAAACAAAAATACCAGTAATGCTAGAAGGAACGTAAGTGACTGGTCATTCTAGAACTATGCTTTAACAGTCTATGAATATTTTACAAAATATTATAGAGAGCTAAGCAAATCACATTTCTTTCACAGCACAACATACTAGAAGCCTTGGAAAGTGGCATTGGGCACAGAGATGGGCACCTACAATCACAGCACTCAGGAGGCTAAGGCCAATATGTGAAAAAAAGTTCAACATCACCGGTCATTTGAGTGATGCGAATTAAAACAACACTGAGATTCCACTTCACCCCAGAAAGAATGGCTACTATCAAGAAATCAACCAATACCAAATGTTGGCAGGGCTGTAGGAAGAAAGGAACACTTCTCTCCTGCTGGTGGGATGTAGACTGCTGTAATCATTGTGAAAATCAGTGTGGAGATTCCTCAAAAAACTAGGATTGGAAGTTCCATTTAATTCAGATATTCCCCTTCTGGGTATTTTTCCAGAAAAATTGAAAAGGTCATGCCACAGTGATGTATGTGCACTCATGTTTATAGCAATAGCTAGATCTTGGAAAAATAAATAGCTAGATCTTGGAAAAAACCTAAATGTCCATCAACTAAGGAATGGATACAAAAGATGTATATTTTTACACAATAGAGTAGTACTCAGTCATAAAGGTCAAACTCGAGACTTTTATAGGCAAATGGATGCAACTCGAGATCATACTCATAAATGAAATAAATCAGACGTGCATTGTAAAGACTGTATTGTCTCACTAGCGTGAGCTGAAACATATGTATATGTGTGTGTATATGTATGTATATGAAAAAAGTTAAGATAGTTATACTACTGATTTCTCTGAGATAACTGAAGAGAAAGGTTTGCTTGGGTACTGTTCAGACAATTGTGCTCCAGGTGACTGATTTGGGGATTGCCATGTGCAATGTGTGCACCATTGTTCTGATTGTTGTTTTGAAATTTTTTCACTTTTGAAATAAAATGGATTTGGAAAAAAAAATTAACTTCATAGTAATTCCATGCAACAACCAGCTATGCTTTCTTGCAGTTTGGGAAACTAAGGCTGGTTAAGCTCAAGGCAGCACAGAGAAGGGTTAAGCCACATTAGCTCTGATACCAGTCTGCCTAGTTTGAATTCCAGATTTATGACTTACTAGCTGTACCACCTTGTGAAGGTCACTACACAGTTTCTCTGTGCCTATTTTCTTGTCTTTAAAAAAGCAACATGAGAATGACTAGCTGTGTAGTCCAGAGGTAAAATACTTGCCTTGGGTTTGTTCCCTAGCACTACAAACCAAAACCTTAAATTTTATCGTAAAAGCTGGGTATGGTAGCACATACATCTAAACCCAATTACTGAGGAGGCTGAGACAAGAGAATGCTAAATTTGACATAGGCCTGGGCAACTTTCTGGAACTCTGTCTCAAATTAAAAGGTAAAAAGGGCCAAGGATGCAGGTTAGTATTAAAAGCATCCCTGTGTTCGACACCCAGTACTAAAGGAACAAAAACAAAACAAAACAACAAAGTAATGGTCACTAGGCTCAAGACTGATTAATTACCATGTCCCTATACCCAGTAAACCAGGCTTTCCTGCAGGCATGGCCGATTCTAGATCTGTACAGGAAATATACAAAATGATCCTGGAATACTGTATACCAAACACTACAGGAATTAAGAAAAAATTAATAATAAAAAAGTAGAAAAGCCAACGTGAGGGGGGGTATCAGTTTAACATGGGGAAATTTGAGCACTATAAAGAGTAAGGACAACTATTTGAAAAGTGCAAAGTATATTAAGTCACATTCACAATAATGCTAAAATCAAACAATACACTTATATAGATAGATGCTTAGAAATGAACCTGTTATGGGGGCTGGGGATTTAGCTCAGTGGCATAAGCACCTGCCTTGTAAGCAGGCGGTCGTGAGTTCGATCCCCAGTACCAATAAAAGAAAAAAAAAGAGAAATGAATCTGTTATTGATGACTGACACACACACCTACATACACACAGAAAACTGCAACCACCTCCACTATCTGTCATTGGTGAACTGTACCACAGAATAACTTACATAATTGTGACAAAATTTGTGCGTATGTAAATCCCAATTGACAAATTGAAAAGGAATGACTGCATAATTCCATTCTTCAGTCTTAATGAAGTAACAGAGCAGACTCATGATCACCATTAGCTACTGAAAGCACCGGAAAAAGTCTGAAGAAGAAATACATGGACAGATCAAGTTGACAGAAGCAAGTCCACTGATCTGAGTACAACAGACATTATGAAAGTGATGAGAGAAAACGTTTAAAAAGGGAAGTGTTAATCACTGTTAATTTCCTATTATCATGTTTTGAATTCCTGCATCGTTTTCACAATTTTGTTAGGTTCAGTTTTATTCTGTCTTGTTCTGTTTGATTTTGTGTCTGACAGTATAGACAGCTTTTTTGCAGATAATGGGATGTATGATGGTAGCCATTGTTGACTTCCTATTATCTTATTTTGAAGCTCTGTATCACTTTCATTGTTCTGATTAGCTTTTTTTATTCGTTAAAAAAAAAAAGTCCACCAGTCCATCTTAATGTCACAAGAAGACAGCCAAACATACAAACTACTTATATTTATGCAAAGTCAAAAACCAAATGAAACAAAATCCAGGGAAAAAAGCTGGGGATTTAGCTCAGTGGCACAAGTGCCTGCCTGGCAGGTACAAGAGCATGAGTTTGATTCCTGGTGCAAAAAAAAAAAGCAAACAAAACACAAAACAGAATCTAACTGTTACATTAGAAAATATACAGCACCGCCGCATCCAGGAGGGCACGAGGAAGAGGGCGCGTTCAGTGAAGCAGGTATGGGACTGGACCTGCTGGGATGCATTGTCACCTTCGCACCTGCCGCTCGTGTGAGGACCCAAGCCTGCAGACCTAGTGCTGAGCAGACCCCCACCACAGGAGCACCCCCGAGCGTGTGGGTTCACTGACGCCAAGCCCACAGGACCAGAGCCGCCACTGCAAACAGAGCCCAGAGAAACTGCTTCTGAAGAAACCTCTTCAGATAATAATCAAAATCAAAAATACAGACAGAACTTTCTGGTTTTCTGCCGTGATTGACCAGGATCTTTTGGAGAATTTGGCCTGCTTGCCTGGGCCCTGAACTCTGGACTGGGCAGCTGGGGGTGAATGTCCTCACACTACCCTGAGCCCCTGGGAGGGAGTTCAAGATATCTCAGATAACAGCAAATTGGGGAGGGCAGCAAAACCCCAGCAGCATGCTTTGGAAAGACCCTAAGCAATATGAAGAGGGCCAGAGATCCCCCCACCCACGGACACACCTGTCTGAAAGAAACCAGAAACATGACAAGAGATAGAAATAAAAAAACCCCCTCCAGCCACTGACCCTGGAAAATTAAGCCCAGGAGAGATAAATACAGAAGAGAAACAGTGCAGTAATCATGCAATATTAGATACAGCATCAGCGGACATAAAGAAGTATCTTCATGACCTCATAGAGGAACTTAAAACTGTACTTCTGATCCAAGTGAGGCAAGATATAAAAAGATTAATTAAAGAAATGATAAGCCCCTTCCAAGAGAACACAGATGGAAGAACGGAGGAACTCAGAAAAGGAAGACAAACCTTTCATGAAGAATATAAACAAAATCTAGAATACATGAAACAGATCCAAAGAGATTACCAGGAAACTAAAAACTCGATTGAAAGCTGGCAAAATGCCTTGACAGAAACTAAAGTTAGCCTTTTGAAACTTGAAGAGAGATTTATGGTGTGTGATCGTGAAAGAAAAGATCTTTTAAAAATAACAAGGAACCAGGAAGAAACAATACAAAGGCTAGAAGATGACAAGAGGATTAATAACTTAAGAATAAAAAACATGCGCAAAGAAGCAAGAGTATCTACAAATGAACTACAAAGAATATTCACAGATATAATTAAGGAAAACTTTCTACGCATAAGAAAAAGAAATGATATCCAGATAAAAGAGGCATATAGAATTCCAGCTACCAACAACCAAAACAGATCTACACCCAGACATACAATAATCAAGATTCCAGAAATCCACCACAAAAAAACAGAATATTAAAAGCAGCCAGAGAAAAGAAGCAGATTACCTACAACGGAAAAATTATCAAAACGACAGACTTATCAACACAAAAGAGCCTGGGGGGAAATAGTCCAAGCCCTGAAAGAAAATAACTGCCAACCAAGACTGATGTACCGGGTAAAATTCTCTCTCAAAATTAATGGAGAAACAAGATATTTCCAAGACAAGGAGGAAGTGTGGGAGTTCATGGCCACCACTCAACCCTAAAAAAAATACTGAAGGACATTCCAGAGAGAGAGGAAAAAAACCAGGATTCCAGCAACAGTGACAGAAGCCTCAGTGAATGGGACAGACACTGGAGTTGAGGAGTAAAGTGGACAAATAATGACAGAAGAATAAAATAGCAGAAATGAGGCAGAAACAGTAAGCTGTAATCCTGAATATAGATAGCCCTGAAACACTAACAAAAAAAAGAAACACAGGCAGAGTAGATTAGGAGACAGGATCCATCAAGATGCTCTGAATAGGAAATACACTCAACCTGAAAGAGGGTTAATAAATTGAGAGTCAAAGACGGGAGAACAATGCTATATGTGACAGGAAACCAGAGAGAAATAGGGACAACTTGTCCAGCAGCCACAGATAGACTGGAAAGCTATGACATTTTTGGGCAGTGTAGAACTACACAGATGGAAGGAAGGACAACCTTGTGACTTTAGTAAGTAAAGGAGTACAGCTCAAGATCAAGCTCAGGGGTAAAAAGGTTTAGCAACACTCAGATAGCTAACAGGTTGGCCCCCTAATCTAAACACTAAAAGAGCTAGTGGGACCCAAAATATACAAAGCACCCTGGGAAAGGGAAAAGGGAGGAATTGTCTAAAAAAGGAAGGCAGAGGACATTGTAAATAGTGTATCAGGATTTAAAAGTCACAGTAGTCTTATTGTCCACTCACATTAGATTTGAGGGCACAGACAGCTAACCCAAAAATAGCAGGTTATACCACCGTAACTATCCTTAATTTCCTATTAACTTACACTGAAACCCTGTATTACTTATATTGTCTTACTATGACTCATCTTATTTGAAGCTGGTTTGTTAGACCGCTGTTTAGCCTTGACTGATTTATTCGAATATGGTATCCTTGATAGTATGAAGTCTGGGAGTGGAGACAATTACTCTGAAGATGACAAGACGTAAAAGATATCCATTCTGGTTTTGATTATTAACTGCTTTCAAGTCTTACAATATCTTCAAAGTTGTGTTTTTAATAAAATAGCTATGTAATGTTATGTTCAATTATATTATGCCTGATGATGTGGACAATTCTATTGAAAATAATAAGAGAAAGCACAGTAACTACCGTAGGTCACCTAATATTGTGGTCCTATATGTCTTTCTCATTTCATGTTTTTCTAGGAATTTATTTTGCTGTCTTGTTTTGTTCTATTTTTCCCTATAATACAGAAAGGATATGCATGTAGAGATTCACACATGGGAAGAATTTCTAAACTGTCTACAGGAACACATTATATAATACACGATGTAATGAACGGATGCTTTGAAGAAGAGACACTAAGAAACCCAGTGCTAATTCTGTAGCATTATGATATGAAATCTAGCAAAATTATCATTCACTGTTCAGAGTGATATTAGTCTAGTTTCTTATGTTCAATTTCAGTATATGTAAGGATAAAGACAGCTACTACTAAGAGACTGAGACACATTATTGTAGACATTACTGACTTCCCCAAAATCAGGTTTTCAAAGACCTAAAAAGTCTTCATCATCCTGTAATGATCTGATTAGTTCTATAATGTTCAGCATATATTCAATGTGTGTGAAGATGGGGACAACTATCTGGAAGAAAACTAGAGAAAATAAGATAGACAGTGAAGATCTCCAGTGGACTTGCTTTGAAATCTATGTTTCTTTATAAATTGTTTTGTTCTGTTTACCCTCTTTAAGATAAAAAACAAATGTGTAGGACTGATAACCATATTACTAAGTTCTTGTTGGATCATTAAGCAGAACTGTTTGCAGTGTCACTTGTTTGAATATCACTTTGTATGCTTTAATTTTGTAACTCAAGCAACTTTTTGTAAGATGATGGTATGTAACTTATTGACGTGATTTCTTACTGTTTATTTTTCTGAAATTCTGTATTGTTTCTACCCTTTTTATCTGTTTTTTTTTTCTTTAAATAAAAAAAAAAGAAAGAAAATGCACAGCAAAATTATGTTCAATAACACCATACAGGAAATTGTTGGAAACATCACCCAGATTCTTCCACAAAAAATTAAAAGGGATGAGGGAGAATCTATGACCTTATAGAACCTAAGGTATTTCAATCACATGTAATGTGCAGACTTAAAAAGTCACTTATGAATCACTTCGTTGTATTATAATGGCATTGTGACTTCAGGATGAAAGGAAAGACCTATTTTTCTAGAAATCATATGACATAAAAAAGATGTAAAAGAAGGTGCAGATACAGTATGACTGGCTAGTATTTGTAAGTGTTGAAGTCAGGTGATCAGTTCATAGACTTGAGGATTATGGTTAACTCTTGCTTGTTTGAAAATTTTTAATAAAAAAGTATAGTGCTTACCTCTTTCTTCCAATTCTTTCACAACATCAGGCATTCTATCTTGATAGAAGGATTCTCCTCTCTCTATTAAGGAAATGTCCAATGCCTCATAGATTTTATTAAACTCTAGTGAAAAACAAAATGCATAAAAATTTAAGCAAGAAACATGCATCTAACATTAAAGAAACACTTTTTGGTACGAGGACTTGAACTCATGACCTTGTGTTTGCCAGGCAGCCACTTATGCCACTGAGCTATATCCTCAACTTTTAAAGAAATATTTCTTAATTAAAATTTATAGAAAGAAATCACTATATAAAGTATGACATAGTACATTAAAAACATGCTGCCATTCTGAAAAATGAATAAAAAATGTTAAGATATATTGTACATCCAAATCCTGGGACTGAGCACACAGCTCAGCAAAGGCACTGGTTTAACCCCCAGTTCCCTCCATTCCTCTGAAAAAGGGTCATAAGTATCAAATTAAAACATGTAAGTGAAGCCGCTAGGTGTGGTGATAAACACCTACAGTCCTAACTACTTGGGAGTTGAGGCAGGGGGTTCGCTTGAGCCCAGCAGTTTCAGACCAGCCTGGGAAACACAGCAAGATTCCCATCTCAAAAGAAAACCAAGGGATTATGAAAAGGAAGCTGGGCATGGTAGCACATGCCTGTAATCCCAGCATTGTGGAAGGCCGAGAGGCAGGAGGATGATTGATCACAAGTTTGAACCCAGGATAGGCAACACAGTGACTTAGCAATACCATGTCTCAAAATACAAAAAGAGCTGGATATAGTGGTACAGTATTCCTGAGCCCAATTCCCAGCACAGTATCAGTATCTACCTACATACATGTGCGTATATCTATGAACATATATACGCATGTACACTTAAATTATCCAGTACTGAAAAGCAATTACCACTCATCTTCTTTCTCAAAGATGTACTGACTATTCTTATCCGCTCTACCCAAAGAGATAGTTCCAATTATTTCAAGGGTAAAAACTTTAAAATGTCTTAAAATATATTTACCCATATAAAAGATTTTAGGGGTAGGGATGTAGTTCAACAGTAAAGTATGAGCTTAGTATGCACAAGGTCCTAGAGACTGAGTCTCTAGTATCACACACAGAAAAAGTTTAAAATGTTATTGATGATCAGTTATTAAGGAAACTATAAACACAATTTGCCAGATGATTGACTAAAAGCCTAGAGACTTGCCTTGGCGGGAGACATCACAGATAAGCTTCCAAGCCTGTAAAAAATCTGGGTCTTTACTCTGGAGCCGAACGACACACTGATATGCTCGTTTTTTAAATTCCTCTTCAGTATCAAACCTCTTTTTAGATTCCTGTTTTTAAAAACATAAGAACCAGTCCTATATTTTTAGATAAAGAATTTATTCATGTCTAAATACCCACACCAAACAGAAGTGAAAACTTAAGACCACCGGAACACATGCTCTACTTCTACAGTCAAGAATACTGTCTCGGGGCTAGACACAGCTCACTAGTAACGTGCCTGCCTAATGTATGTGTGGCCCTTGGTTTGATTCCCATTACCACCACCAAAGAACCCCACATTACTACAGATGAACTACTAAAGAGTCTCATTATTTCCCTGGAAATTATATTTACTGAAAATACACAACTACAACTGTGGTCTTTTCCCTATTTACAAAAGTCTGTATTACACCAATATTTCTATGTTCAAATATGGTTAATTAATGGCTCTAAAAGCCAGCCGCGGTGGCACACACCTGTAATCTCAGCACTCGGGAGGCTGAGGCATGAGGATCACTGAGAGTGAGGTCAGCCTAGGCTACAAAGTGAGTTCAAAGCCAGCTTGAACTGCATAGCAAAATCGCTAAGAATCTCCCCTCTCCCCCCAAAATAGATGGGGCAAGGGATACTCAGCAGCACACTGACAAATGCAAGGTCCACAGTTTGATTTGCAGTGTGGGGGAGGAAAAAAAAAACACAAAAGAAAAGAAAAGAAAAAAAGAAAGAAAGCAAAGCAAAGCTAACAGGTCTGAACTTTGTGTGTGCCATTCTCCATCATGGATATGACTCTGAATGAAGGGTTTTTAAAGTTGAACATAGTTTCCACTGCTGTATTTTGAAAGTCATTATTAATGCCAACATCCCAACAAACAAGTGGTATCGTTTTGATATTTAATTGCAGCACTTCTTTCCAAATATACACAAATGCTTTAAGAAAAACTGGAAATCACTTTACTACAGGCTGTAAATTTCTGCAATGCATTACAAACATTTGCTTGCATGAATAAATCAGCACCATTATATTCTGAAGTCAGAACTGTAATAGATGAAGTTATAACACTATTTTACCAATTTCATATCAAGTAGCTTTCAAGTAGCTAATTTTCAAATTTTCATTACAAAAGACAAAAAATTTCCCAAGCATTCATTTTTAATGTAGTAATTTTATTCTTGGGGAGCTATTAGAAGGAAGCAACTTAGAAAAGGAAAAAATTTTATGTACAATATATTTACCGAATAATACAGCCTCCAATCAAATGGAAAAGAAAATTTAATTGGGGATTAATATAAACTTCAGGAAAAGAAAAATAGAATGTTTTCTCACAAATAGTATGGTGTTACCCTTGTATGGGTTACCCTAGATGCTATATATTGCCCAAACCAACCATACTGAGGCCCCTTAGAGAAGATTTTGAAAATTCATGGGTTGTAATCTCAGTGACCAAAGTTAGCCACGCAGCACTATGCTGTACTAATAAATAACTGGAAGCCAATGGTCATCACTTGAGTCTTGTAATTGTGGAGGCCAAAGGTAATTTGTATTAATCTCATATCTCAATAAATTTAGTATTAAAATATTTATACAGAGCCAAGCATGGTGTGTATACATTTTTGGAGCTGATTATGCATATGTCAAGGAGTCAAAGAAAGTCAGTCACAGTGCATTACGGATGATGCAAGGCTATGGGTCCATCTGCAGTACTGCAAAAAGCGATTATGAATAGTGCCTAAATTTGTCTTTCAAAAGCTATGATGTCTGCAAAATATTAAGAATGCTTTAAATATTACAGTGTATTTTCATTAATGAATGCTAAATTGGTAGAATTCAGTATCTTTTTTGTCGATACTGGGGATTGAACCATGGCCTTCACACTGAACTACATTCTTAATCTTTTTCATTTGTTTTTATTCTGAGACCGTGTTTCTTTAAGTTGTCCAGGCTGGGTTTGAATTCGTGAGGCCACCAGTGTTGCAATTACCATTGTGTGCCACTATACCCAACTGGAATGCTATTTTTAGCATTCAACAATAAATAAAGCAAAGACAAGCTGAGTTAAGGACAGTTGTGTCTGCGCATTCAGCCAGATGCCACAGATCCAAGGTGCCTGTTTTTATTCGTACAACCAAATGGCATAGATCCAGGAGTTAAAAAAATTCAGTTTGTCAATTAGGCCAATAAAGCAGCTTTTATTTTTATCCATGTGATCCAATATGATTATGGAGAAGCCAGCAGAAAGTGTTACTTATGTATAGGTGTAAGTATGGTTTTCATAAGTTTATCAGCTTTCATTTAGCTATATAGCAACTCAAATGCCATTCTGAATTTCCGACAGAAAATAAGTCATTTAATTATGAGTGGTAGATATACAAACAATAAATGGTATCGAACCTTATAAAAGGACTGGAGATCTCCAATAGGTGGTGAAACTGTCAGATAATCTGGAAATTTATCTTGCAGGTGAGCGATGAGCATGCCAAACTGGGTCCCCCAATCTCCTACATGGTTTATCCTAGTACCAAGCACAGAACATGAAATAATTAAAAAATGATACAGACATTTAAAGGAAGTATATTCCATCAGCAACTATGAACATTTCAGTGCTAGTACAGCACACTCAGTAATAACTGTTTACCTGTTTCCTCAACTGGGCTGAAAACTCTGTAAGAAGACAAGCCTTTATCTGTTATGTTCAGGTTCACACACCTACTAACAGAGGGTGCATGTAGCAGGCACCAAAGATTTGTTGAGTAAACTCCTTATCAGTGAACTGGAATCTATTCATGTAGCCAATCAGGACAACAGCAGTTGAGCCTCAATGACAGGTGAGTCTATGTGATCAATCCCACAATTTTATGAAAATTTGATTACTTTAGCATAATTTATACCAATGGTTCCTAAATGTCATTGGACAAAATTCACCTCTCTGCTTTTACTTAATACTAAATCACCAGATTACCTCTCAAATAGTATTACTACTATACTTTCTTTTATTTTTCTAGGTTCTTTACTGTAGCCAGGAGTAATCTTTAGTCAGATAATAATTGGGAGAATAAAAAAATTTCCAATTCCTACGATACCCTACAAGATCTAACACGATTTCTTTCTTTCTTTCTTGACATGATTTGTTTTGTGACTAGCTCCCACCACCCCCCTAATATAATGCCCTGGTATACAGAAGGTACTTATAAATATCTTTGGTATGACCAAGGAGCTTTATTGTTGTTCAACATGACAGACTAAAAATATTAAAGTAGAGCTAGTTCATCCTTCCCGTAAGCTGTGCAAACCATGCAGGGCCCAGGAAGAGAGAAACCAGTTCGCCCTTCCCATGAGTCAGCAGAAGGCATGCTGGGTCTGAGGAGTACAAAAAGCCAATTTGCCCTTCCTGCAAGCCACACAAACCGTGTGGGGCCCAGGAAGAGAAGCCAGTTCACCCTTCCCATGTGCCCACTGGTGTGCGAGCTGAGAATCAACACCCTCTCCCTCCGCAAGCAACTGGAGGTTCAAGGATAGGTTGAGTTGACAGCAACTGAGATATAAAAACAACTAAAAGCTTGCATTGTTTGATTGACTTTGTAGGCCTAAGGCCATTAGTCTGAGCATTTATTAGGTTAATGGTATGCAATATAACAAATATGGGGGATTTCTGTCTTGTTTAGTTTTGTTCTGATTGTTTTAATGTTCTGTTTTGATTGGTTTTATTGTTTTATTTGATTTTACTATGTCTGATGGAACGGACAACTATGGTGAAGATAACAAGACATATTATGATAGGCATTATTGATCTCCTGTTATCTTGTTTTGAAGAAACTAAGGTAATAAACCGTTCAGAGGAGGTGCCTGGATACATTTGTAACATATTCCTGGTAGCTTGTACCACTGGTGGTACAAATGGATCTGATCACTTTATCACTCTTTTTTACCAATAAAATTACTAACTTATCTGATGGCACAGTCATACACATACCCCAGTGGATTAAGCCTGTCAGCTGGACGTACATAACACAGCCCCACTCTGCAGGTGTTAATGAGGACCATACAGCAGACTCAAGTATATGAATCACTGACTTAGTCTTCTCAAGTGAGATGTTTCATTTTCTATAGAAATTTCCAAAGTCAAGAGCACACACCTGAGCACATCATATCCTGCAAATTCGAAGAGGCGGCTCACACTTTCTCCTATGATCGTTGATCTGAGGTGGCCTACATGCATCTCTTTAGCTATGTTGGGAGAAGAAAAGTCAACTATAACCTGAGATAAACAATAAAAAGATTTTTAAAAAGGACATAAGCATTTTGTTTTAATAACATAATGGAAAAAAACTCAAGACTTAACCTCATGGATCTACTTATTCTTAACTGAAAGAAGAAATTAATGTATACAAATAACTATTTCAGCAATTATCACAAAGTGTCAGCTATCTCAAATGCCTCATGGAATGAAGTGAGAAAAAAATTGTTTAAGACCCATTAGAAATACTACTCCACTATTACATTCATCATCTTGAACGTTAAAATGATTAAATCTAAGCATAAATATGGAAGTTACTCCCAGTTAGGACCTCTTCCATGTACTTCTATGATACTACCGTATCAACCGAAGATTGTGCACATACCTTTTTATTCTCCCCAATGGCAGGGAGCTGTACTCCATTCAGCAGAAGACTGGTCAACTGTTGTGATACAAAATCCTTCCGTAAGTGGACATTAATGAAACCTAATGGACAGTAAGAGGAGGAGGAGAAGAAAAAAAAAAAAAAAAAAACACCTCAGAAAATCTCCTAAGTTGAATGACTGATGATTCCCCCAAATTTTCTCCATTTCGCTCATATTGGCTTTGGACACCGGATGTGGTCCTCACAAACTCTTCAGGATCCCACACACCTGAGGCCTTCACTAAAGGTCCCCAGTTAGCTTCTGCTTGAGCTTCCATCTCAGACCTTCACTATTCTCCTGCAAGCATCCTCCTTGATTCAGGGCTTGTTCATTTACTCAATTCTTAACAGGAGTTTACTCAACTCTTAACAGGAAACACAGGGCCCATCTTGCGGATAATAAAAACTGCATCACAGGGAGGTAGTGGTAGCTCAATTGAGGATCATGAATCTGAGTGGTAGATGAGTCAATGAAAACTAATTTCCTAACTCACACCCAAGGTGTTTTCACCATCTTGTTCAGTGTAAGCCTGTTTTTAACACTTCTCTGTTTCTGTCTCTTTCTGGCAGTGGCAGTGACTGATTTTACCTCTATGATATACTTTATTACTGAGATACACACCTAGCCCAGGATATGTTTTCTTTTTAAATATTTAATTAGAATATTTTTGCAGTATACTCAGTTACATTCATTGTGGGGAACTGATACATAACACATTTGAATTGTTTTTTCTGTCCCTTCCATCGCCTGAAAACTTTGTTTTGCCAGCATCAGATTGATTTATAGGTCTTTATCAAGTTAATTATTATTATTTTTTGTCTTTTTTAGGACATGGGTCTTGTTATGCAGTTCAGGCTGGCCTTGAGCTCATTTTGTAACTCAGGTTGGTCTTGAACTTGCAACAATCCTCCTACCTTGGCCTGCGGAGTGCTGGGATTACAGGCGTGCATTACCATGCCTGGCTTTTTTTTTTTTTTTTTTGGTACTGAGAATCAAACTCACAACCTTGCGCTTACCAGGCAGGTGCTGTGCAACTGAGCTATATGCCCAACTTTAAGTTAATTATCATAAATACAAATTAATAACCAGACCAGTAGACTAAAAAATATAAAAAATACATAAGACAATTATACTAAATCAAGGTTACTTTTAGATAAATTGTCCATGTTGGATTAAATAATATTTTTTCCCTTTTTTTTCCTATTGTGTCTCTTATTTTATACTTTATATATTAGGCTTTTTGTGTAAGAGAAACTATGTGATATTCAAGCCCATGGTTCTGATTTATTTCACTTAACATGGTGTTAAAGTACCTGGTTTTTTTATTTTTTCTTCCTCCACATCTTTCACTATACAGCTCAGACTGGCCTTGAACTCAAGCTGGCCTCAAGCTCAGTGATCCTCTTGCTTCTGCCTCCTGAGTGCTGGGATTACAGGCAAGTACCACCATGCCTGGCCCACAGGATATGCTTTAATGCTGGTTTAGGTCCCCCCCCCTTAATTTCAGGACTCATCACCAGTATAAGTATTAAGAAGAATAACATATCATACCAGGACCAGCAATTTCAACTTTTTCAATATATTCAGTGTTCGGCAGGTGTTTGGTAATGTTTTCAGCAATTTCTCTCGGACTTACTTTCTGGTCTTTGGCTTTGAGCATCTGTAACACAAAAATAAATCAGAAGATAGTCTCTTTAATAAATGTTGCGAGGAAAACTGGCTTTCCACACAGTAAAGATCATTATCTAGACCCATACTGCTTACCCTGCACTGAACTGAAACCAAACTGGATCAAAGATCTAAATATTAAAAGACAATCTGATGGAAGGCAGAATAGGAAACACTTTAGAAGACATAGCTATAGGCAAAGACTTTATGAACAAAACTTTGACTGCACAGAAAATGTCACAAAGAATCAACTGAGATCACATCAAATTAAAAAGCTTCTGCATAGCAAAAGAAACTACCAAAACAGCAAATAGAATGGCAAAAATTTTTTACCAGCTATTCTTCAGATACAGGACTAGCATCTAGAATAAGGAACTCAAAAAAAAGAAAGTCAGATCCCAATTTAAAGATTCAATCCAAAAGTGGGTATCAAAGGGCCAAGGATTTAGCACAGCAACAAAAGCACCTGCCTGGCAAGTCATGAGTTTGAACCCTGGTACAAAAAAAAAAAAAAAAAAAAAAAAAAAAAAAAAAAGGAAAAAATGCTCAATTATCACTGGTCAGGCAAGAAATGCAAATTAAAACACTGAGATTCCATCCAGAGAGAATAGCTATCATCAGGAAATTAAGCAATATCAAATGCTAGTGAGGTGATGGGGGGAACCCCTTCCAGTTGCTGGTGGGAGTGTAAACTGGTACATCTACTACGTAAATCAGAATGGGGATTCCTCAAAAAACTAAAGCTAGTGATTCCACTTGAACCTGTTGTTCCACTTCTACATATCTTCCTGAGTTAAAAGCATTATACCACAGTGTTACTTATGTATTCATGTTTATAGCAGCACAATTTTCCAAGCTAAAGCTTGGAAAGCAGCCCAGATGCCAATGAAAAGATGGATAAAGACTATGGTTTTTACAAACAATGGAGTACTACCTTGCCACGAAAAAGGATAAACTTGAGACATTTTTAGGTAAGCAGATGCACATTCAGACCATCATATGAAGCAAAATAAATTTGTTTAGACATAAGTTTAATTATCACATTGTTTCTATGTCTAAATGAGAAGGGAGACAAGAATGGGGAGAAGAGGAAGGGAAGGAAGAGAAAAGGGAAAAAGAATTGAAGGAAAAAATAGAAACAAAGCTTGGAAAAAAGGGTTTGAAGGAAGGGTAGGAGAATGAGAAAAAAAAATTGAGATATGTCATTCACAGATTTGAATTCCCTATGATTGAATATGATCAATAATATACACTAATAGAAGAAAGTTTAAAAATAAACAAAATAAAGACTGAACAAGAAACACAAGGTGGCTCAGGAGTTCCAGCCCAGATCAGACCACTCAACAGTTTAGAACCTGTCTCAACATAAAAATTAAAAAGGGCCGTGGATACAGCTCAATGAGAAGGATACGTTCAATCTCCGGTACTGCAAAACAAAACCTAACAACACACATGGCCCAGTGTAGAGGCACGGCTATAACACAGGCACTTGAGAGGCTGAGGATCCCAAGGCCAAGGCTAGCCTGTGATGAGTCTGCCTCAAGGTAAACAGAAAGGGCTGGGGGTGTGCTTAGTGAGACGAGCGCTCACTTGGCATGTCTAAGCTCTGGGACTAATACTAAAGTTCACGACAGGAGTCTTGAAGCAGCAGTGGTGTATGTGTGACTGTCCTTTCAGGTGGCGTGGGAGGGTCACGCACGTACTCTGAGTGACACAAGCTGGTGGGAGAACAAGGGGTGAACGAAAAGCAAATGCATAAACCTGCCTCAAAGACAACAGAGCTGCACTGAACACTTTTAGTTTCTCATTGTCCAATCATTATTACAAATACACAGCAATCATGGACACTGCAGGATGGATGCACTAAAATGAAACAGTAGCAAGTATTACCCTTAAATATTGAGAATACAAAATTTAACTGAAAATTCACACTTCTGCTTTAAAAATTAATCAAATTGAAAAAATAAACTTTTCTCAAATTTATCAAACTACACAAAACATCCTTTTCATTAAGGATATGATGTGCTATGGTTCATGTAAATGGTGATGAAGATACCCAACAGAATCTAATTGCCCACAGTGACTTATAGCAATACATTACCTGAGAAATACCCATGGCACTATTACACTGATAATCTCCAAATTTGGGCTGCTGACTTGGCGTTACTATCAGAGGAGGATTTTCCAAGCCTGGATATGCAGCCTTAATAGCACAACCAAAGATTTCTTGAAGGCAGCTATTAATGTTAATCATATTTTTAGTTGGTTTGTTCTTTTCTGCCTGAAGACTCTGCAAAAAAAGAGAGAAAATGTCCAACAATGTATTGTACTGTCATACAAAATTTCCCCAAATATTGTGAGAAACTTAAATATCTTGAGAAAAACCAAAACATGGACTCAGTATGATGCTCTCCTAACTGCAATTTGCTGAGACACAGAATAGTAATATAATCCGCGAAATCTAAGGCATACATGGAAAATTCTCTGAGGGCTTTCTTTCACATTTATAAAAACAAACCAGGAGGAGGGGCTAAAAAGGACTGAAAAAATATTTTTTCAGTTTCCTTCAAAATTCTGAGAAAAACAGAAATTTAAGACCAGGCCTCGCAAGGCATGATGGCTCATACTTGTAATGGCAGCTACTCAGGAGTCTGAGGAAGGAGGACCGTAAGTTGGAGGCCAGTTTGGGCAACTTATAAGACTGTCTCGAACCAAAATTTAAAAAGAGCTTGGTGTATGGCTCAATGGTAGAATGACTGCTTAGCACATACAAGGCCCTGGCTCCAATCCCCAGCACCACAAACACTGTCAGTCCTGAATTACCTCATGTCACACAATGGAAATCAAAACTCAAAGGACAAATCAAGAAAGGTATTCTTCCCATCAAAATGGTGACCTCTTCAAGGTGCAAAATGATAGAACAAAGTGGGTAGTATCACAATGCCAGTAAAACAGGTTAATTTTGTCTTATGATACATAACTTCACATTGGCCCTACTCCTACCTCCAATTTCTCATATTCCTTTCAGTTCATTGGAGTATATTCATTTACTTAAGACAGCATATAATTACTTTTATTATTACAGTTATCATACCTTCATATAATTATTTATCTCCACTATTAGACTCAATTTGCAGTGTCATGGCTCTATCCTAGGCATCTAGCAATGCACCTGCCATATAGCATGTTGTCCCAAAACTGGAAAATAATATGGCACAGTACATATGCCAATAGTCCCAGCTACTTGGGAGCCAGGAGGATCACTTGAGCTCAGGAACTGGGGACACACACATGCACAGCCTAAACAACTTAGAAAAACCCTGACTCAAAATTAAAAAGACCATGGATGTAGCTCAGTGGTAGCCCATTTGCCTAGCATGTATGAAGCCTTGAGTTCAATATTCAGCAATACAAAAACAAAAACAAAACAAAACAAAATTCAAATTGCAAGGGCTGGGGATATAGTCAGCAGCACAGCACCTGCCTGGCAAGTACAAGGTCCTGGAGTTTGAGCCCAGTACCAAAAAAAAAAAAAAAAAAAAAAAAAAAAAAATTCAAATTGCAATATTCAGCAATAAAATATCTGTGCTATGTCAAGATCTGAACTAAATGCTGGGCATGGGGGACCAAATCTGTAATTCCAGCACTTGGGGTTGAGGCAGGAGGACTGTCATGAGTTCAAGGTCAGCCTGTACCTCATAAGGAGATTGTTGGAATACAACAAAACATGAACCAAAAAAGATCTAAGACAACTGCTTATTTATAGCTTATTCTATCTATACAACAAAATTCTATTTGCTACTATGGCCACTATTTCCATGTGGGCAAGAGATTAGCTTCCAAAGATAATGTGGCAAAGCCAGGATTCAAACTCTATACTTCCTTATAATCCCTATTATATGAGGAAAGTATATTCTTAAATTCATTTAAAAAAAACCCTTGGAACTGAGGCAGAAGGACTGAAGTTCAAGATCAATGTGGACCCCACAGCAAAGTCAAGGCCAAAAACCAAAACTCATTGATACTCTGATAACTTTCTCAAAAAATGGAAGACATGCTTCTTATAATCTTAAGGATTTTCAAGAACAAAGCCTAAAGGTGTTTAAATATGACTGAGGACCAAAATGTACAATGAAAAAAATTTCACTTTTAAATTACATTGTTTTGAGTTTGGGGGGGGGCAACATTGAGATATGAGATTAGAGTTGGGGCAAACTGGACAGCCAACCAGTGGAATGTGTCAGAAGTCATAACAATCTATGCCTAAATGGTTAAGGGAAATGTTTCTTCAAAAAAAAGAGACGTGCACAGAACACTGGACCAAAATGACCTCAGGCTCACAGAACACGGCACCTAAAACGACGCCAGGGGTGTAGTTTCTAGGCACTGTTTATAGGACCAACCGGAACATGGTTATTCTTAATCCTTCATTTGGTGTCAAAAGATACCATCACTGAACCTGTATTTACTCTGACCAGAGATCAATCAAGTTGTTCCAAGGTTATTTCCCTTTGGACTACGCCCTACTTGTTCACAGTAACTGACTGACTGTGTTTGTCTTCTTTTCCTCCACCTTCAAATATTCTACTCTTTAAAAAAAGTTTTTCCATAGGTCTATACTTGAAGTGCGACCACCTGAATTTTTGATAGGACAACCACCCCAATACCATACTGACACAAGAGAGGGGCCAATCCATGTAGTATTCTAAAGATTAAAAGCCTCTTGCCCTTTATCTCTGGGGCTGCTGTGAGTGTTCTTCACTGGCCTGTTCCCACCTGCAGTGTTTTTTCTCCCATCTTCAATAAATTTACAACCTCACTGCCTTTGGGTATCTAGTCAGTTCTTTGTTCAAAATACCAAGGACGTAGAAAGAACCTTCTTCAGGAACTCCATTAAGAAAACAGAAACAGAGTCTGGCTGTGTTGGCTAGGCTGGTCTCCAACTGCATGTGCTCAAGTGATTTTTCCTAACTCAAGTCTCCCAAGTAGCTGGGAATACAGGGGTGTACCACCACACCAAGCTTCAGTTTAAAGGAAAAGAATACTGCTCTCTTTCTCTATATATATATGCACAAGTTTGAGCATATATATGTGTGCACACAATCTACTGAATTCAATTTCTGTACCATGATTATAATAACTTAATTTTTTCCTATTTATTTCATATGTACAAGTCTTTTTCTCCTCTCAAAGGGCAATCTCATAAGGATAAGAAATACTGCTTATGGTACAAGCATCTCTGCTACAACTTGACACTTAGTATTCTCAGCATCTCATATTATTGCAAAAAAAGAAATTACATTCTAAAAAGGAACAGTTTGAAAAAATTAAAAAGAATTGCCAAGTTTGAGGACACACACAGTAATTCCAGTTTCTCAGGACACTAAAGCAGAAGAATCTCAAGTTCGATGTCAGCCTGGGCAACATGGTTGTTACAAATAAAATAACCTTTTAATGATAAAGTTCTTGACTGGTATGTACAAGGCCCTAGACTCACTTTCCAGTGTCAGGAAAAAACAAAAAACAAAGCAAAACAAAAACAAAATTAGAAGCAGAGTACTCAAAAATCCATGTGATTTTATAACACAAATACTATCATAATAACCGTTTTAAAATTTTCAGTGGGAGAAAGATCTGTTAATACCTAATTCTTTTTTTTTGTCTTTTTATCGGTACCGGGGATCGAACTCACGACTGCCTGCTTGGAAGGCAGGCACTTATGCCGCTGAGCTAAATCCTCAGCCCTGTTAATACCTAATTCTAACTATGAAGTACATAAGACTATTTTCAAAAAAGAAAGGACAGCTCAGTGGAAAAGGGTGTAGGGAAAATGGAAGCTGCTGAGTTAGTTAGGAAGCTACAATACTTGCACAGCCTGCTTGAAACTAACACACACAAAGAGCAATTACAGAAATGAGATCATACTGCGAAATGTCATTAGCAAACTTGAAAGGCAAGCCGAAAACCTGAAGCAAGCTTTTTTTTTTTTTTTTTTTTTGCAAAACTGATAATCACTGCTAGATTTGAGAACATTAAATAGAACACAAGCTTTGTGTAAAGTTTTGACATGTTAAGTGGGAAAAAAAAAAAACCCCAAATTTGCTATAAAACATAAAATACAAAAACAACTGTAAAATAACCAATTTAGGATAGAGAACATTATGTATTAAAAAGTATTTTCCTTTATAGCAATTATTTAAAAATTTAAAGGAAAGTATTTTTAAGGCATGGACTTGATTTACTGAAAGAATTTTACCCCGATTTTTTTTTCTTTTTGAGACTGGGTCTCACTATGCAGTTCAGGCTGGTCTTAGGTTTTCTTTGTAGCCCAGGCTGGTCTTGAACTTGCAATCATCCTCCTGATTCAGCCTTCCATGTGCTGGGATTACAGGAGTGCACCGTAACGCACACTGATTTATCTTTCTGTAATCTTGGTAGACATTTAATTCAAGGGGCACACTTTTAGGATTTTGGTAATTTTTTCCAAAGGTTTCTCTGAGCACTCACCTTTCGAAGAATATTCAGTCGATACTTTAATTTTAAATTTTCTTCTTTCAACTGCTCCAAACTAGGAGAAGCTTCCAAGCAGGTATAGTTTTTCAACCGGTCAATTTCAGCAGTCAGAGACTTAATCTCTTTTTCCTAGACAGTAAAGGCACTTTTTTAGTCCAGTATGATATATTTCCCCTCTCCACAAGACACAGCATAGGTGATGGAAACGAACTTTCCTTTTGACAAGTTATATTTTTTCTCCAAGACTCTTGCTGACATTTGTATATTATCTTTGATAACATATAACTAACTGCGTGTGTAGAGAGGAATATTGTATTTTTCTTCAGCTCAACGAATCACTGTGAATAAGAGCTTAGCTTCAGATTAATCTACCTTGATTCCCAAATCTTACAGGTGCGGGAATCTTAATACCAAACACCTGGACTGGGACTGCCCCTGGATGGATCACCACTTGCCTAGCACTTCAGCAACCCTGGGTTAGTTTCCCAGCACTACAAAAATCAAAAACAACCACTATTGCATTCAAACCAGCTCAAATATGTTTCTCACTCTTTTTGTATCTAAACGATTTCCCCATATCTTCTTGTCAATTTCTAGCGTCTCAGGTCCTAGATCTGACGTTGTACATTAATACCTAAAAAATAAAAGCGTCTCAAATCAGAAAGTTTCCTACTTAACTATGAAATGCAGGAGATGAGTTCTTAATTTAAAGTTCATAATATTTACCAAGAGAAACTTACCGTCCTTCTGCCCCCGGTAGGGAGGCAGAAATTTACACTGTCCCAGGCACTGTGTTGAACAATTTTCAGAAACCACAACTCTGATCATTACCCAATAAAGCAGTCCTACCACATATGGATGACCATATGGCTCTGAAAAGCAAAGAGCTAGTCCAAGAACTCGACCAACTTATACTTCACGACTGCTGACTTGACAGAAAGCAATTCCCGTAACAGGATACAAAACGGTTAACTACTTCCTTATCGACCCTTCCCTGTGGTTACAATATGAGACTGGTTTCACTTTTGCTGTTTAAATTGGGAAACTCCCTCCACACAAACAGATGGTGAAAGGGTGCAAATCTGCGTCTGAACAGGAACCAACCCTTGAGCTTATTAGGAATCCTCTTGCTCAGAATTACAGGAACGGCAGCTGAGCTGCAAAGCACGACCCACCGCACCGAGCGTATCCACCCCTGGCACCTGCAAGCGCGAGTGTCGAGGAGAGAAAAGCTCTGAACACGCCAAGTTCGAGTCCTCCGGCCACGTCTCCTTGGAGAAGTCTGGGACAACACAGAGCCCTCCACTTCGCTGAATGACGCAGCCATACAAGCCTCAGGAGGAGTTTCTCCTCTTCCACCCCATGCCTTCCCTTTGCAACATAAGAAGAAACCGAGCCCCTGGGAAAGCGTGTGAATTGCGGGCACCGCAGCGGAGGCCCGGGTTTTGGTCCCTGCCTCGCTGCCAGTGCCTCAACGCCGCTCTGACAAGAGCTGTGCCTGGTTATTCCCCTCTGGACCTTGCCACCAGCCCCAGGTAACAGACCTGCTGCAACAACCGCGCGGAGCACACAGCCACCAAGCCGTCCATCCTCGCTTTCACGCTTTACAAGCCAAGTGGCCGGAAACGGAAATAGCTGCCGGTGGCCGGAAGCGGAAATCCCGCCTCCTAGTCGCAAAGTCTCGTGTGGTCTTGGTGTTGTCGTCTCTGATGCCCCCTAACGGGCCCAGGAGACACCGCGAGGAGATCAAACACGTGGAGAGAGGTCTCTGCTAGCAAACTGGCTTCCCTGCCGTGTTGGGAGGAGGAAGAATTTAAGCAGAAGGCTGCCAGAGCTACTTTGTGTTTGGACTGACCTGGACAGAGGCCCTTATCTAGACTTTCTCCAGGGCCTCCGTTTGCCTTGTTTTGGAAATGAGTAGAGAACTGAGTCCAGTCTGTTTTTTTCAACAAGCATTTATTTTGCACATTAATATGCCAGACACAGTCCCAGGCTCTGGAGATGTAAAGACGAATAAAGTCCTCAGTATCACAAAACCAACGCTTTAGTGTGGAGAGAGAGACAAAAATAGTAAACAACAATCCCAGTCTTAATTGCCATGGAAGTAATACAAGTGATTTGGGTAGGAGAAAGTCTCTGTTGCCTTTTGACTTAAAATATTTTTCATATACTTATTTCTCCCAGCTTTACTGAGGTATAATTGGCAAAGAAAAATTGTATATATGAACTGATGAGGGGTGTTGAGACAGGGTCTCCCTATGTAGTCATGCTGGATTGGAGCTCACAGCAGTCACACACCACCACACGCTGCTGGGTGTGCTTTGATGTCTGCACTCATGAGATAACAATCACATCACCTCACGTAGCTGTCCTGTGTTAAGAACATTTACAATCTTTTAGAAAATTTGCTCTTTTTGCAAATTTTGAGATACACAATTGCTTAGATTTATGGTGCTATACATTAGATCTCCAGAATTTATTCATCCTGCCAAATGGACACACTATCTTTTGGCCAACAGCCCCTGCCAAACACAGTTCAGTTCTGTACTTCTATGAAGGTGACTAAGATTCTGGGTGTGTGTGAAATAATACAGTGTTTGTCTGTGTCTGGCTTATGTCACTTAGCATAAAGTCCTCTAAGTTTGTCCTATGGTTTACATAGCACCAGATTTCCTTATTTTTAAGGACTTTTTTTTGTAGCAAGAATTGAACTTATGACTTTGCACTTGCTGAGCAGGCGCTTATGCCACTGAGCTAAATTCTGGCCCCAAATTTCCTTATTTTTAAGGCTGAATAATATTGTACTGTGTGAGAAAAACAGACTAACTGGACTATACCAAGAGGGCAGAGATTTTGCCCAATCTTTTCTATTGTGCCAGTATTGAAAGTAGTCTCTAAACACTTTTGCTGGTGGCGGTGTACTGTTTTCTGCATATTTGTTTAGCACTTACATTTTTATCCAGGCTGTGGGTATTTCACTTGTCCAATTTATGGAAAATGTCTGCTGTATCAATTCATTTGCAAAGCTAGTCATTGGTCAAGTCAGATAGTCCACATTAATTTTTAAGAATTTTAAAGTTTGCCTTTTCCCTGCTTTGATTGAACCCAGGACTTTTCACATGCAGGCAAGCATTTGGTCACTGAGCTACATCTATGGCTCCATCTCTATTTTTTAAACTAAAGGGTTAATGCATGTTGCCGTGATACCTTGGGGATTCTAGGGCCATCTTTTTACTGACCTTCCTCTGTGTAGAGCTCACAGATTTATTCTTGGAAAAATACATTGTGTCCTTTGTTCAGGTCCTGCTGGTTTACACCCAGGGCAATGTCCACATCACAGCTTTATCTTTCTACCTGGCTTTGGGGCTACTTTCTAGCTGAGATCCACTTCTCCATCTTTAATGTCTTCCCCATTCCATATACATCCCAGACATGACTTCTAGAAAATTTTCTTTCTTATCATACATCAGCCCACGCACATTTTTTTCCTAGTTCCTAAAACAGCAAATAAGCTATGTATGGTGCCTGCCCTGGTATTTCTGACATCCTAATGAACAGATGAAACCAAACAGTCAACTATATAGGCACAAGTGATAAAAAATTAACTATGACAATGTCATGTTGGCTGGGGATTTAGCTCTGCGGCACAAGCGCCTGCCTTGCAAGCATGCGGTCATGAGTTTGATCCCTAGTACAAAAAAAAAAAAAAAAAAAAAAAAAAAAAGTCATGCTTGTGCCCTTTTGTTTTTTTATCTATATACTAAGTGGTTGGCTGTAAACTTATTAATGAACTTAGGGTATTCTCCTTAATACATTTATTTAGTCCCAAGTGCTCAGGGAGAAATCATACTAATAGTTTTGAGCAAACATATAAAGATTAGTTATTCTCAGAAGCATCTAGAATATACTTCCTATCAGAGTATAACAACTTCCCCACCATGCATTAGCAACTTACCTCATTCAGTTCCTAAAGAGTATCATTTCAGTCCTTCACATCACTGAATGAAGAAAGTCATATCTTCTTGCTCAAAATCCTGAAGGCAGCAGTACATACAACCTAGATACAGAACTCAGGACTTTGGGGCTTCAACGTCTCATCTTTTTCTACTGCCCTCAAGCAATGCAGACTGCAAGTGTGCTGAGAGTAAATGTCTGGGCAGCATTTTATAGCTTTCCATGGATCTCTGATGGCACATTTATGATATGTATGCAGTCATTTATCTTCAGATACACTCATGCATGAAAGAATGGAAAATAGAGAGAAAATAGCTATTATTTGTCAAAGCAAGTGATTGGGTGAAAAATAAGTAGCCATGAATTAATTTGTAATCCATCTGTTATGGTTTGTTTAAATGTTCCTCCAAGGCCTCATGCGGTCATGACGGGGCCTTTTGAAGGCAGCTGAGTCTAGTGTTTGTGATTGTTCTTTGTCTAGTGATGGGATTGGCTGTGTGAGTGCTGCACCCGCCCAGAGGTAGGTAAGTGACACACAATATAAGGGAGGGAGTAGGGGTGCTTTTCCTTTTTTGGTCTTGTCACTTTTGTATCTGTTACAGCTTCCCTGTACAGTTGCCCCTCAGCCATGCCACCCTGCCTTGGAGTTAGCTGGCTATGGACTGAAACTTCCACAAATTGTGAGCTACCTAAACCTTGCTTTCTATCAGTTTGGGCATTGAGTATTTCATCCAGCAATGAGAGAAAAGTAACCAAGACATCATCTGTTCAGATTATGTGGTTGTTTAAAAAAAATGAGAAGGCTTATAGATATCTTCTACTTTTTTGTGGGCTGGGGATAGAACTGAGCATCTCATGGATACTATGTAAGTACTAGACCACTTATTCAGTTCTTTTAAGTTTTTTGAGACACAGTCTTGGTAAATTGCCCATGCTGGCCTCAAACTTTTAATCTTTCTTGCCTCAGCCACCTCAGTAACTGAGATTACAGATGTGTGCCACCGTCTGCAGCTACACCTCTTAAAAGAAAAATCAGTGTGGCTGGAGCCTGGTTAACAAGGGAAGAGTCAACTACAAGAATCTTTTGTTTAGTTTGTTGAGAAGGATTCTTGCTATTTTGGGTATGCTGGTCTCAGATTCCTGGATCCAAGTTATCTTCCAGCCTCAGGTTCCCTACTAGCTGAAATATCATGCCTGGTACTCAGAAGAATCTGTTAGCCTTCTTGGGAGGCAGGAAGTACAAAGAAGTCAGAATACACACTGCCAAAGCCCTGTAGTCACATATGCAACCGTTGGCTTGGCTTGGGACAAAGAGACTCAGTGAGGCCGAGTGTCCTTCCTTGGAGTCGTGTACTATCAGGCTTGCCTCAGTCCCCACCCTCATGCAGGGAAGCCACAGGATTTCATGACTTTGTTCTTAAAGAGATGTCGCAGTGGCACTATGGAGCAATCACTGCTGCTGAAAGAGAAGAGAAACTGGATATGGAAGACAGGGTGTGCAGTCTTGATCTGGGCATTTATTATCTGTGTGACCTTGAGCAGATCATTTCTCATTTCTGGGCTTGTTTCCTGAAGATTCTGGAGCTAATACATACACTATCCCAAGGAGACATTTCCTCACTTTTTTCTCTAGGAAAATAACTGGGTATACTGATGATTGCCAGAGAGCTGTTCACAGTGCCATGGCTGGCAGAGGAGCTGCCTTCCACAGAGGTGGTCTGGGTCTTAAAACAGGTGCTGCATCCACTGAAATGACACAGACATTCCCCCCGCAGCAGGAGTGGCTCCTCACGGCTTCCCCAACACACACAGGGCATCTGGATGTCTGTTTCACAGAAGCTGAGGCAGCGGGTGGTTGAGGGGCTGGGCTTGGAGGGAAGAGTTGAACATGGGTGAACATGTGAGAGAAGATATTGCATTGCATGACTTTCAAAGCTAAGTTTCTTGGTTATTACTCATTTATTTAACTATGAGATTAGCCGGGAACAAGTAGGGTGGAATTCCAGCTAGGACAGTGACTCAGCTCAGGAAAGAGAGCTTCTGACTGCTCTGCGTGAATTCAGGCTCTGCCTTCCCCTGACACCCTCTTTCCCAACCCATACATCTGTTATTCTCCCTGCAGTGGGGAATTTTTTCTAATCCTCCGTTATGGTTGATACATTGTGTCAACTAGAGAAATCTAAAAGCTTAACTAAGGAACTCAGCATTTCTACATCCTGGGGTATAAACCATATGCCCTGACTACTATCGGATATACATCATTGTATTAACTTGGGAAGTTTAGGAGTTTAACTAAGTAACTCAGCAGCAAGCAGGGTCCTCACTTACCTTTCCTTCCTTAATTTTGGGTGTTGGGTATTTTGTCTCAGTAATGAGAACATAGTAACCAAGACAGCCACCACCAGCTGGAAGAGACAGCTTTGGAAAGAGGAATTCTAACCTCTGGTTTGCTATTGCTACAAGAAAATATTTAAGCCAAGGTACTTGTTAAAGAGGTTTCATTCAGCTCAGAGTTCTGGAAGCTCAAGAGCATGGGGTCAGCACCTGATTAGGTCTGGCCAGGGCCTCACAGCACATGGCACACAGTAGTGAGAAGGTGTGCCGTGTGTGAATGTCAAAGTGGTACCTTCAAAAAAGTAATGCAGGATAGGTATCAGACTCCCTAGAAAAAACTCATTCTCTCAGAAACTAATCCACTCTGCAAGGTCATCATCATCCCTTCTGGGAGTGT